GCAGGAATGAACAAGGAATGAACAAGCAATTTGATTTTTGCACCTATTTTAAAACAAAACAAAACAAAAAAAACCCAGTATTCAGGCTTTAGCTAATATTTTCAAGAAACGTGCTGACCAAACACCCTGCCCGTACTTGGACACTCTCCCCTGAAAGCACCAGTTCACCTAGCACCACAGTTAGTGGCTGATCCACAATGTTTGAGTCAAGAGAAACTCAGGAAAATATCAAAATAGTAATTAGAAAAAGAATACGAATTTGTAGGATGTTTCATTGCCCACGCCTTTCCAGAGCTTAATGAATCAACCCCCACAACATTCTATAAGGAAAGGCACATTCCTCTTATTTTATAGGTCCATGGATAATCCGTGATTTTAAAAGACTAGTAGACCAAAGCCACAAAAGGAAACCTGGGTCCAAGCTGAGTTCAAAAGCTAAGAGGTCCTGGCACCCTGCCCTGCGCCCAGAGGAATCTCTTAACTCCTCACTCACATTGCATATTTTCAGGATTCTTGAGAACTGTTTGCCCCTCCCCTTTGCTTACCTGGACTACTGAGATGTGTCCATGTAACACAGCAAAGGTGAGCGAAGTCCAGTGCCGGCTGTCAGGATGGACTGAGGGGTATCGGGGATTGCTGCCAGGAACCTGGGAACATGAAAAATTCAGTTACTGATCCTGTAATAGAGATGTAGCCATGTTAGTCTGGTCTAGCTGAAACAAAAAACAGGATTATGTAGCACTTTAAAGACTAACAAGATGGTTTATTAGGTGATGGGCTTTTGTGGGCCAGACCCACTTCCTCATATCAAATTGCGGAAGAAAATAGGCACTACCAAAGGGATACAATAAAAAAAAGTGAACAGATATAAAAAGGACAAATCAAATTTCAGAACAGAGGGGGGACGGGAGGGGAGGGAAGGGGAGGTAAATGTCTGTGAGCTAATGATATTAGAAGTGATAATTGGGGAACCTATCTTTATAATGGGTAAGATAATTAGCGTCTTTGTCCTTTTCATATCTGTTCACTTTTTTTTTATTGTATCCCTTTGGTAGTGCCTATTTTCTTCCGCAATTTGATATGAGGAAGTGGGTCTGGCCCACAAAAGCCCATCACCTAATAAACCATCTTGTTAGTCTTTAAAGTGCTACATAGTCCTGTTTTTTGTTACTGATCCTGCAATCTCTTTGTCTCTCTCTTACTATTCAGATTATAACAGGCATTTCCCTGGTGAATAACAACTCCTGGTACTGACAGGCTGAGAGCACTGCCAGTGCTAATCGTTGTGTTCTGTTTACTAGGCTTCTCTAGTGGGCCTATTCATTTCCCTAAGTGGCTGCTCTTTCCAAAGGGACCTTTTTGCTCCCTATGTCAATCGTCATGTCAATCACTGAGCACTCCAAGGGGCTTTGGGCTTTGTTTCGCCTGAAACCTTGAAACAATGAGCTCTGAAAGGAGGAAAGGCCTTCCATGGCTCCACAAGCTGCAGCTTTTGGTTGCCAGGAGAGATTTTATCACTGATCCTGCTTATTGACACGTCAAGGACGAGCAGTTTTCCTGGGCGTGGCCCTTACTTACTGGTATATCCAAATGTGCGCCAGCATCAATCAGCATCTGGACCATGGCTTCATCTCCAGCAGCGCAGGCATACATCAGTGGGGTCATGCCCTTCAGGAAGGAAAGTCAGCAACATTTAGTCTTTATCTATAGAGCCCTGCAAATCTATGGTATCTGCATCCATGGAGGATGCAGAAATATGCCACTCATTTTTGAAGCTGAAGATGAGGATACACATTTTGTATCCACACAGGGCTCTATTTATTTACACGTCTAATAACAGAGACTCCATCTGCTACAGGGACTAATGAGACTGATCTACAACATATGTAGGTACGTATGCACAGGGAACATATGTGTTTGTGATTTCTGAGTGCCGTGGGGGAAATCAAGACATTAAAGAGGAATGGAGCATGCCCTACATCACATAAGTATCAGATGAGCTAGCAATAATTTTAAATGGGTTGTCTAAAATCCTGATCTTTGCCTGGAGCCATGTTTAAGAGGCAGCCCCTTCCCCAGGCTGCAAGAAAGGAATCACAGACCTTCTTGCATTCTCCTTGGTCAGGAGAACTTAAAGCAGAAATTAGAAGAAACAAATAGAGAGGCATTTACTAGGCAAACACTATCTCTCTCTGGTAAGATGATTTTTGTTAAAGTATTTTAGCACTCAAAGAACATTTCTACTCATGTAATCTTTCTTTCTTGCTTTCTCTCTGTTTAAACAATGACCAGCCAGAGATTATTCATGAGCTAGATGGGCCTTTATTTACAAACAAATCACTCTAGAAATAGCCAAGTGCAGGATGTAAATGGCCAAAATGTTTTTGTGATCAAATAGACTGAAGCTCATGTCTTTTTCCATATGTCGGTTATCTGAAGTTTGGACAGGCTGGCTCTGGCACATTCCATTACAGAAACAGATGCCAGCTGCAAAGTTCAGATCTGGTTCCAAATCCAATGTATAATAGAGTTGACATTGAAGGTTTTCACTTAACCCCATCCTTTAATTGGTAATGCTGGAGAGGAAGCATGCTCAGCTCTGGGGACTCAAGAAGAGAAGAAAGGTCTCATATTGTTTCACAGTGACAAGTGGCTGATCACAGACCAGCAAGGTCTCCCTAGACCTTCTCCTCCAAGCCTCCTTAGTCAATAAGATGCCAGGATACTGTGCTGTAAATTTGGGAGAGCTGTCTGTCATCTGTTGCCGACACACAAAATAAGCACCAGTACAGTGATACACACTAGCTCAGTGAAATCCTCCAGTAGGATTGGCTACGACATGACATCAATTGGGTAATAATAAGACTATGCTGTCCACTATTTAAAGTTTTAAACCTCTTTACTTGAGCTGTCAGCAAAATATATCAAAGTGCAGAGTTTGGCTGAAAAATACCCCCTGGCTGGCTGAAGGGGAGGGGGGGGAAACAGTCAAGAGCAATGAGTAGGGCTGCGATTTCTTTGGTGTGAGGATAAATAAATCAGCAGGTCATTGAGCAAAGCAACAGAGACAAAAAATATCAAAGATCTTTTTTGAAAGAACAAAAGTCCTCTGGGCTTTATATGCTGAAACCACAAAAATGTGAAGTGGGGAGGACACAAGTGACTAATTTTCATGAAACAAAACAGACTGGAACCATCTGTATCACTTTAAAAGTGGCACTAGTGTACCCCACAAATGTATGCTGATACCCCACTGACCTCAAAGCCTATGTAAATCAGGTCATTATTCACCTAATAATTCATCTATTCACAACTACCTTGCATGGACAATGCTTGTTTATGGACTTAGAGGCTTTTTTTGCTTTTTTTGGCAGAAGCAATAGGTGTGCAGGCATTTGTTTAGGTGGCTCAATTTTAAAATGAAGTCTGCAAGGCTGCAATGATGTGCAGCACTATAAATATTATACAGTATGTTAGCAAACCTCTCCACTCCAATAGATATCCAGCCACCTGTGAGAAGCAGCAGCTCCTGCTCATTGCCATAACAACTATAATGTCATCTCAAATTCATGTTTTACATCAAAGTCAATTCAGTGCAAGGAAAGGTGTTAATCACTGGAACAGAGTCAGCATGGGCAGTTCCAGGCTGTCTGCCTCATGTGCCTCCACTCAGATCTGAAGAAACAAAAGGATAGAGAAATCCTGGCAAGTTCTTCTTGGTTTCTCTATGGAGCATTCCATGTGGGACTTTTTGCATGTCCACTGGGAACTGGGCTAAGAGCAGCATCTAACTCACTTTAGACACGTCACCCAAAAGTCATCAGTGACCTTTTAGTCACTCCTCATTGACCTGGCCTGGATTTCAACTGGAGAACTAGAGGTGACAGCCACTGGCAGCAAGTATGTAGGGATCTTAATTTTACAAACATTTTCATGCAAGAAAAAAAAAATCTAGCTTTCTTATTAGAAATCCCGAATACTAATCTGTTCCCCCATTGCTAGCAGAGACATGCCATAAAGCATTCCAGGGAATGAAGTTGTTCCTCAAGCAATCTAGAAACAATTCTCTTAAAGTGTTCAAAGGCTAGCCCAAACTGAACTTGAGAAAAGCTCAGCTGTATAGAATCACCTGAGACGTCTCTACAGAAAATATTTAATTTGTTCACACAGGGAAACTTTTTCAAGGTCTTTTCATATACCTGATCATCCATTGTGTTAACCCCATCAGGTCCCAGCACCTCTATAGCTTGGTTGATCAGATCAGTTCTTCCACAATTTAACATTCGGAAACCCAGATCCTGCTGGAATTTTTCAGTAGCAGCTTTAGCGTCCAGTCTTCGGAAGGAGCTGAAACAGCATTCAGGCCTGTTGAGGACAAAGGCCAAAAAGTGCAGCAATCATTTCAGGAAGGGTTGTGTTTTAAACAAGCAATTACTTCTAGAGCGGCTTCTCCAGATGGCTTTATGCTCCATTTTTGGGTTTTCCTATTTTACCAGTAGAAATGTTTAATGGTTACAGAATTATAACACATCAAATGTATGTGAAACCATATTCAGAGGCAGTGAGGGAGAGAAACTCTGTTGAAATAAAAGTACAAATACGGTTTCACAATTAAATAATCATTATGACTGTACATAGAGCCTGAACATTATTTCCAAATATAATTTTGCCTTATCATGCCTTTATCCCTTAATTCTCACATTCTGCCTATTGTCCATATCCTCTTTTGGGTGACAGACTATTCTCAGATCCATCCCAACAACAACAGACTTACTCTGGGTCCCTAGATGTATAGTAGACTCTTACTCTTCCATTCTCATCCTCTTGGCAGGTACCAAGCTATCTTACTTCTAAACAAGATAAAGAAGCCTGGAAATTATTGTAAATCCCCTGCTTATCATTTGAGACACACCCGAATTCTGATATGAAGCAAAGGAGCATCAAGTTATAGGTATTTCCTGTCTCAATTGGACCTTGACATAGTCATCCAGATTGTGAGATATCAGGATGAATTTGCTATCTTCTCCACTGGCAGCCTGTCCTGACACAAACCCCAAAACCCATGTGCAAACCCCCAGCTGCTGCAGTATTTGACTGTCAACTTCCTTTGAAAAATTAGACAACCTTAACATATTTTAACCTCTTCTGAAACTTTGTGTGGGCTGCCAGAGAAGTCATGCATTCGTGGTTTCACTTCGAAGGCTCTGCATGAAATTTACTCAGGGCTTCAGACTTGGCTGGTAACTTTTCATGCTCTTGTCTTTTGCAGGCTGATGACAAATGGCAGCCAGATGCCACAGCAGACTTGTCCAATTACCAAAGTCCTTCACTGGTCAAGTGGCTAGCCTGACTGTACATGGAAGTCAGTACAACACAACACCACGATCACAATTCAAATGAGGTCTTTTGTGATATACAGGCATGAAGTATACTAGGTGAGAATCCAGTGTGAGTTTCTATATGGAGCTAATTAGGAAGATTGTTTTGGTTTAAGAAAATTTTAAAAAGTTGTCCAAGGCAGCACAGAATTATTTCTTGGGCATACACTGCAAGAGGTTGCCCATTTAGTTCTTATTAAGATCATGCCTATACTAGGTGAAAAGGTGTTACAAGACCCACTTAGCTGAGAACACCTTCTGCTTATATTGCCTGAACAAAGCCTTGCAACAGCATTTTCCAGCCACTCCTGTCATTTTGGAGGCCGTGGTTTGCAGTGCCTGGGATAAGGCCTTGAGCTCAGGCCCAGCTGAGCAGGTGCCACCTACAGGCGTTGTTTCTTCAGTGTACAGAAAATCACACTGCTGCTAAGGCTAGATAGGTTCAGTGAGTCCTAACTTCATTCCACAATGCAAGGAGGGACTTGCACTTGAAAATCAAATCTCATGCTCCTAGCAAGTGCTGCACATTATGGGACAAGCACTTCACAGGTTACGCAAGTGTTTATGCTAAGTTGCTGCCAGGTAACTCCAATAGTGGGCTTATTTGCAACTGTTTGTACTGTATTGCAATTTGTTTGCAAGTGTTGATATACTCCAGGGGCAAGTGAGAGAAGTGGCAACTATGTCCAGGGCAGAATACCATCCTTCAGAAAGAAGATAACATCTCAGTATTTCCTAGGAAAAATTCAGCAGAAAGGTAACATTAGTCTTGGGATTTTTGTTTTAATTGTGGGAGATTTTTTGTCTATTAGATTGTAGTACTAGGGTAGCTCAGTGAAAAGGTGCATATGGAGAAGTGGGCTGTTTGACTCATCAGGAACTGGTCAAAGATGAGCACAGCATGCAGGTCAGTAACTACAGTAAACTTCCGATAATCTGGCACCTTTAGGACCTAGGGGGTGCCGGATTATCAGATATGCCGGACTATCGGAAGGGGGGGCTATGAGGGGTCTAGGGTGGTGTGGGGGGATGCCACCCCAGATTCCTCATAGCCCCCCCTTCCGATAGTCCGGCATGTGGTGCAGAGCAGCTGGGGTGCTGCGGGGTTGGTCCCGCAGCACCCTGGGGCGGCGCTACCGGACCAACCCGGCAGCCCCCCAGCTGCTCTGCCCCGGGCGTCCACAAGTCAGCCGCTGCTGAAACTGACCAGCGTATGATTCTGGGAAGCCTGGGGCAGAGCAGCTCTGCCCCGGGCTTCCCAGAGTCAGCCGCTGGTCAGTTTCAGCAGCAGCTGAATCGGGGACAGCTGGGGTGCTGCTGGGTTGGTCCCGCAGCAAGGGGCAATGCTGCTGGACCTACCGGGAGCACTCTAGCTGCTCTGCCCCCGGCTTCCCCGATTCAGCTGCTGCTGAAACTAACCAGCAGCAGCTGAATCGGGGAAGCCGGGGGCAGAGCAGCTCCAATGGTCCGGCTGCCTGGAGCACTTCCAGGTTCCTGATGGTGCCGGACCATCAGATGCTGGACCAGTGGAGTTTTACTGTACTGCTAGAAGTAAGGTAACAGATGCAGGACCAGTGACCACTGCTAGAGGCCGTAGGTGGATAAACAGTCAATCCTGGAGGTAGGGAAAATTATTAGATGAGCAAGCTGTTACGATAATGCTATATTTCTGTGTTCCCTGAGAACAATTAACTTGAAGTCTAGTGAATTTCAGAAAATAAGTAAACTGTATTTGCAGGTGCTGTGCCTGCCCTTCAGCTGCACCCTCACTATAATTTCGTCGGATCTACAGTCCCATTGTCCTAGTTTCTAAGGAAGGAAGGAAAACAAGGGAAGACTCTTTAACCAACACACAGAGGAATAATGAAACTCACTACACACTGAGTGCTCTGAAACACACCAAGTGAGACATCTAGAAAAACAAAGAAATCCTTTGGCTCTCTCCTCCCTGGATTACAGTGACCTTAGCTATTCCTTGTAACAATATGTGAGGACATCTCAGGCAGGTGATTTTTAAGTTGATGATGTTCTTTTAAGCAGGTATGGTCAGGGTAAGGAGTGACTGTAGATCACTTTGAAATGATACATTGAGAACACTGGATTGAAAAATCTTATATTCACTGACCCACAAACAACATGTGTGGATAATTATTTGTCTAAGGAATCTTTTTCAGAAGATAGATGCATAAAGCCTGAGTTTCAGGACAGTGGTCATTATAACAACACTTTGACCTTCTCCGCTGGCTTTCATCCCCAAACCTCCACCAAGTGACAGAATCCTTCTGGAAGGTGGGTTTTATCATCACACTTTGTAGATTATGCAGTGGAGGGAAAGTGCAGATGTGATTTGCCTTAGGTCATACAGGGTGCAAGAGGTACAGGTGGGAATAGAACCCAAGAATCCTGGCTCCCTGCCACTTGCTCTAATCACTAGACACAATTTCCTCCTGTAAGTGAAAGGGGCATGTCACTGGTGCTATAATAGGGACATCTCCCTTTTTTTCTTCATGCAGCATAGACAATGTTCCCGGCTCCTAATGGGGAGTCCTTAGGTTTTGGCCTTGGGGATAATAGCTTAGAAAGAAGGGTCAAAATAAGCAGCTGATGAAGCTCAATACTGCAGCAAACGTGATGTGCATTATTTGATGCAAAAGCTGCTTTAGTCTCATAGAAAAATTTATGGTCTATCATGTGTGTCCTTGAGAGGGTTGGTGAAGGGCAAGAGAAAATGTATGGATATGGGAAGGAAAAGCACCTGGTTTTTCTTACAGATCTTTTCCCCTCTAATCAGAACAACATGGAGAGAAACCTTCATCAGACTCCTTCCAATGGCCAGCTTTGAAACTCCCCTCCCAACAATTAGAATACAGAATTTAATTCCTATTTATTCCACATACTGCAGCTGAATCCTTGTCCCCTTTCATCCCCGCTTACTCCATTCATTCATTGGAATCTCTTGATGGCCTGGGTTTCTAAAGGTGGTTTTGTTTGGTAATAACAATGGCCCTGTAAGGCTTTTAACCTTAAATTTATCGGTATGGAATCGCTGCCTTAATTCTATTTTAGCAAAGTTTTTATCTAAAAATGTAATTTATGTCAATACACTTCTAAAATAGAACCTGAAAATCCCTTTCTTCCCCTACATGTACCTAGAAATTAAGAAACATGTAACCTAGAAATTAAGAAACCATTTGTTTCATACATTATCTCTCTCTCTACTGGCTTTACAAAAACCTGTGGCAATTAAAACACTACAGGATGCTCTGGAAGTGGGAAGTCTCACATTGAGTTTTGAACAATTCATTCAATGTAGAGGAAAGACTGGAAAAAAAGAACTATGCAACTAAGATTGAAAGAACTATTGAAACAAGCAAGCGAGAAGGCTGATAGTTTGCCTTCTGCAATGCATTCTGAGAACCTCAGAGCCTTTTACATTGTTTCAGCTTTGCAACGCCTTTAAAGAGTGGTAAAATTTAAAGAACAGAAAAGTTTACTAACTTTTCCTATGACACATGGAAAATCAGTAGAAAATCTTAGACTAGAACTGGGAATCCTGACTAAAAACCCCATGCTGCAGCCACTCGATCAGCTCCCTCCTTCACACAAAAAGCCTAAAAGCAATGGTGCATTTTTTTTTCAAAGTATGTTAAAATATAATTTATCGTTGTTTGTGTCTACTCAAATTTATTAATAATTAATTGAGATAGGATTAATTTGAAGAGGAAAAATTCACTTTGCACCTATTACACTTCTGGATGGCTTTCAAATTTCCACAAAAGAGTTGCATGATACAAGATCAGTGCTAACACCAGTAAACTTAGCAGAACATAGATAATGCATGAACCACAAATGAGTACAACCAGCCCTAGCTTACTGTGAAACAGTGAGTAATCTGTTTGTGCAGGAAGGCTCTCTGTGAGCCTAGGACTTTAGACTTAGGCTCTTCAGCAGGCTATTTTTAAAGAGGCAAAGGTTGATCTTGTGCTTAAAGCCTGGGTCTGGCAGTCAGTCTACCTATATTCTCAGTCTGCCATAGACTGCATGTGAGGCAAGTCTCTGTGTCTGATCTGTAACATCAGGCTAAAATCTCTGTTGGTCATAGGAGTGCCGTGCAGCTAAATTTATGGATGTTTCTAAAGTGCTCTGTGGTCATCCTCCTACTGAAGGTGATGCAGAAGGGCAAAGTGTTAAGATTATTATAACTGACTGTAATGATAAGCCCACATACTTCAGCTGCCGTGGTTCGCAGTCCAGTCCTGGTAAAAGCAGCCTGGCCGTCTGTCTGATATCATCGCTGTCCACAGTTAAACTGCGCCGATGCTCAGCATAAGTAATAGCCACTCGCATCCACTCCATCAGCGGGGGAAGAAGCATGAAGGGCCTGGACAGAGAATGAAGAAACCCATTACAATCAGTGCTGATTTATCATCTTGTACAATGAGAGAAAACGTACTCTACCATTTCCCGTACATAAATGTTGGGAAGTGGGCCAGAAGGCTGCTTGTTTTCTCACTTGATAAAACTCCTCCTGCAAAAGCAAAGTCTGCCTCTTTAGCTGAGTGTGGCTGATTGGTAGTTCAACAGGTTAAAAAAAAACTCCAACAACTGGATTTGGGATGGGACTTAACAGCTCAACCCTGATTATCTGAACTCCAGTTTACCCCAGACAGGGCCATGATGAGAGAAGTGACATTGTGTTAGACTGAGTGAACAAAGAATGTTACCCCCCTCCTCATATCTGTACCACAAAGTTAAGGGGTCTGCTACTGCTCCTAGCTATTGGCCAGCTCATTTAGCTCAAGTGGCTGAGGCTTGTGGTTTTGGCACAGAGGAGCTTGAGCCCTAGTTTCTCATGTGGGAGTGATTTATAGAATACATGCATATGTTGTCTCTAACGAGACAAGGTGGGGGAGGTATCATCTTTTATTGGACCAACTTCTGTTGGTGAGAGAGAGATGATCTCACTCACCTTCTCTCAAATATCCTGGGACAGACATGACTTACAATAACTCTGCTTTCTTTAGCGTCTGGGATTTGTTACAATGATTTGACCATTCATTATGGCATTGAAAAGTATCCTTGATTAGTCAATTAAGTAAACTTACTCACGGCTCCCCCTTGACATTGTTAATCCATGTTTTATTCTGTCAATATCAATGGCTTTTCTCACTTCACATTCCTTGTACACAGAGCTCAAATCTCCATATCTACAGATCTGGCACACTAGGTATCTACAGAACTGGTAAAGCTAAGTGTCTGTGGGAAGACATACCTGACAAACAGCAAACACGTACTTTCAGTTTGGAAGACTTATTTTAGATTAAAGGGGAACAGAAAAACAGAGAAAGAACTAATATGTCTGTGTCATATCCATAAGTGAGCATTGCGTGAGAGACCCGAAATGTGGCATTACTTAGGCTGTAAGCTCTTTGGGGCCAAGATCATCTACGTAGTCTGTGGTGTAAGAGTATAAGAAATTGGGTTCCTGTTCCGGGACAGGTGCTCCTAGGTATTACAGGAATATAAATAATCATAATATGTCAGCCATCTTGGACTAGCTCTCAGGGAAGGAGGCCCCCTTTACTTTAAAAGGTGCAGTAAACTAGAAAACTGCCCTACAATTACATAGACATATATACCACAGGATATAGGTACTTGGATTCCTGATTTACAAATTCGAATGTATCAGCATACTTCCATACACCCAACATGACAAATGAGGATTTGTTTTTTTTTCCCAACACACCTGCCACCCGAGTGCTAAGCTAAGCAATATCAAATATTCTTCCACTCTCTATTTCTAAATCCACCTCAGAGTTGCATCACAGTAGCAAAGAGCTTTTTCCTTTTGAACATTTAAACTGGAAGGCTGGAAGGAGAGGATGCTGCTTCCTTTAGAAAGTTAATCAGAGACGCAAAACTGAGGAATCTAAACTGATTTGGGTATTCATGAAAGTGGCTGAGATTGTGAAAGGCATTTTCAAGGTGATACATAGGGAGGTGGGGGGGAAGGAGAGTGGAACAGAATTGAATGCACAAAGCCTGTTAGAAATCATTACAAATAATAGGATTTACAAGCAGAACTCCCTGTGTAAGGCTTCGAACATCTATATCTTCAAGTTGGAATAACTGCACATTAAACATGTACCACTTGCTTCCATTTTGCCACTAGCAAGGTGCATACCACAGAGGCATTATGTTCTTGTTGCATACAAAGTGAGTGCACTGTATCCTCTCCTGCTTATTGGTCTGTGCTCAGCAGAAGAGAAATACCCACGAACTCACAGACCCATTCCATCACCTAGTCAGTACCGCCTGGCTAATACACAGATGTTCCTGACAGTACATTCCCAAGCACTTTGTCCAAATTGGCAGTCATTTTAAATTAGCCAAGTTCTGAGGCTTCTAGCACTCCTTGTTAGAAGATTCTCTCACAGCCCAATAGGATCCCACCAGGAGGAAGGGTGTCATGAAATGCAGCTAGATTTCCACAATTCACTATGCTTCTGTCCTATGCCAGAATGTGCAGGGTTCCCTTCTCCGGTGATATGATGTCAAGGAAGGCCAGTCAGAGAGTTGGCTGCAGAGAACTTCAGCTACCGAATCTTTCTGCATGGAAGTAAATGTGTCACTTTGGAGAGATACTAATGGTCTACTCTACTGAATTTCAACTTTTTTGGGCCTATGACACCCAAAATGATAAGGAAAAAAATCATTCCCCAGTTCCCAATATCTCACAGTATTTTGAGGCTACAAAGGATGGTGGGATTTGGGTCAAAGAGGGTGATTTTCTGGCTATTTTGTGGGGTATATGGAAGGGATCAGGGATGGTGCTGCCGGGGAGGAAACTTTAAAAGCAGTATGATCTAAAGTGCTCCAGTTGAATGCTACTGAGCCCGTTGGGGAGTAACCCAGCCCCTTGTAAGCCAATCAGCTGCAACAAACGTAAAGAGGCTGTGCTTAGCTAACAAACAAATACCACTGAATCAACCCCAGACACAACATGTCCCAGACAGAAGTTTCCACACTATAAAGACCGGCTGATGCCAGGATCACAAATGGCCTGTGTGCCTCAGCAGACCTTGAATGTAAAGGTCTTGTGGAATAAAAAAAGTTGGTCGGAGCAGCATTTTCACGTTTTAAATCTCACTGCTGAGCAGCAGGTAGGGAATGTGAGCAAGCGGGAATGACTCAGATTGTAAAAAAGCTGATGCTAGTAAGTAAAGGGTTTGTTCTCTACTTGCTGGCTACTATTCTAATTGTAGTTTCTTTGCTTGTGTCTTACTTACCTACTTGGTCCATTAGGCTCTAGGAGCTAAGTCTGTGAGGCAGAGTTACCACATGCGTAGCCACTCTGTCTCATTTGCAGCATGGGAGTTCTGTGGTACTCAAGAGGAATATCTCTGCTACAGCATGGCATTGTGGTTCAATGGGAATAGGGTTAATAGGCGCTGTCCACATAGCTAGGAAATAATAGTTGCGTGATTTAGAAAGGTTTTGTGCATTGGCAGCTCCCCCAGAAGTTAGCAGCTGTACCTTTGAAACTCAGGCAAGCACCTAAGTGTAGGGACAAACTGCTCAGACAATTGCATGACTGTTGAAATGACCCTCCTACCACCTTGTGCCCTTAGAAGGGTGGCTCATTTCATTGCAACAACTTAATGACAAGCTGCAGTGTTCTCTTCCCCTATTCCCCTACACTCCATATTACTACGCAAGTCGGGGGAATCACTCTCTCTTCCGGTGAGCGACCAAAGATTTCAGCTCCTGCCTAGATGCAAAAGCTCTACATGTCCATGAGATTTCTGTTATGGGAATGCATTTCCTTTTATTCCTCCTTTCAGCCCACTATTCCCTTTCTTAATCTTCACAGCTCATGTGACCCTGCTAGGTATGCTCACAGGAGCTGCTTTGTGTTATTTTGCTTACTGAAAACATCTCAGCAAAGATTCTTGCTGTTATGCAATATAAAACTCTCCAAGATA